TAAATATGAATTAAATATGAATTAAATAAATGAATATTCAAATGATGAGAATAACTAAAATACAATTAAAATAAATAGAATAAAACAAGAGAATAAAATGAAATTAAACAACACAAATAAAAATGATAAAAACAAAAGAAGAATAAAAATAAAGAAATATTCAATGAATTGAAACAATAAATATTCAATAAAAGTGAATGTTTAATGAAAGACATTATATTTATATAGAAGATAAAATAAAGAAGAAAAAATGATATGACAAATTGATAATTATAAATGATAAAAAGATAAAATAATATTTATTAATACAGTAGAAATGTATAACATTCACTAAGATAAATTTAAAAGAATAAATTAAATTACAATATAATTCCAATAAACAGAAGAATGAATAGTAAAGACAAACAGAGAATAAGATATTATAGTTTTATTTTTAAATAATGATAAAAGATAAAATGAATAATAATATGAAAGATATAATGAAATAATATAGAGATAATAGAAGTGGAATATAAGATATAGAAATACTTCATGAACATGATTCTGAAAAGAGTGAAAATAATAATCTCAAATAAATAACAAGAAATAGAAAAATCAATATTTACTTAAATTTAATTTAGTAATTTTTATTTATTTGATGTTATTGATAACAAAAGAACTTTAAATAAATTTTAAGATTTTTCAAATGAGTAAATCATTTTTATAAGTTTTTAATTTCCAGAATTTTATTGATTAAAAACATGAGTTAATGGCATTTTATTATCATCTTTTCAATTTCTATAAAAAGAAATTATTAAATCTATTAAATCTAATTATTAAAAGAAGATGAGTAGCGAAGTTGATAAGAAAATTCGAAAGAAACAAACTCTAATGTTTGAACCAAAAGAAAGTGTCAACAAAAAAGTTCGGGCATGTATTTCATTGTCAGAAAAATATATGTCACCTGATGATTTTGATAATTTTATAAAACAAAATCGTGAAATGTTTACTACATTAGTTATTGAATTATTTCAAAATATTTCTTCACACCTCAAAAAAGGAAAAATTTCAGTTAGTTATAAAGATGCTACAATTCATTTAAAAATCATAAGAATTATGTATAGACATTATTCCTTAGATGAATTAAAGAATTTTGAGTTGTATCGTTTGTGATTAAATTACAAGTAATAATCATAAAATCACTTTAACTGATTATTTTAGAGAAAGTTTTTGACAATTATTTGAAGATTGAATCACATCCAGAATTACGTGAAGCTTGTTTTAAAACTTTACTTGATATTATCCTTCATTATGGAGTTGAATCTACTTTAACATCAACATTCATTAAAAGTATCAATATAGGTCAACTCTATGATAATGAAAATGATTTTCCAGTAAATAAATTAGATTTTGGAGAAAATTGTTATTGTACTAGTCATGACCAAATTAATCAGAAAGAAATGACAAAGAAATTTATTAAAATTTTTATTGACTTAATTAAAACACCTGAAACATTTGATAAACTCTATTTATTATTAGAAGCATTATTATCATTTATTTATCCTCATTTTGCTGATCAAGCAAATTATAAGTATAAACAGGAACATCAAATAAATTTTGATGGTCATTCAAGTGAAGTAGAATTATTTGTATTAGAGGAATTGAAAGAATTATATACTTCACTTGTAGTTGATAGATTAAAGAAAAGACCTTCTTTTATTCTTTTTATTAAATATTATTTTAATCATGTTTTACAATTAGAAATTAATGAAACATCATCACAAGTTATTTTATCAGTAATTAGGTATTTTTCTAATCTCATTCTTCTTAATCCATTAGTTTTAGAAAAAGAAGAACAAGTTTTATCACTTCAAACTCATATCATTTCTTCTCTTTCAGTTATATTCGATAAACCATTCAGTTCTTCTACAGTAGAAATTTGTATGCCTTTAGCTACACAAATTAAACAAGAAATTTTAATAATTGCTAAAAGTTCTTTGAGTGATATATTAAAGAAAACAATGAAAGAAATGGTATTATGTTGTATTGATTATCTCATAAAACAAGAAAAAACTCCAATTGTTTCTTCATATATTGATTTATTAATTATTCTTTTTGTACAATGGAAATTTGGACCTGACCAATGGAAAATATTAAAAGATGATTTATCTAAGTATTATTATAATGAAAATGTTATATACCAAATTGGTATTAAAATTAAACATGTTGTTAGGATTATATTACAACATTTTTATTCTCCTTTATTACTTGAAAATACTGATGATGTAATTGTTGGTTCAAAAAAAGTTGAACGTTCAACTCATCTTGAAACAATAGAAGATATATTTGTTGCACCTTCTTTTGATGAATCATTTAAAGAATATCTTCCTGAAACAGATGGAGATAAAGCACTTGAATTATGGTATAATTTTTATTATTTATTTGAAGGAATTTTTAATCATTCTCTAAATGAAAGTTATGAACATGGACTATCATTATTATATGAAATAGCTATAACTTTTATTCAGTCTGAAACTAAATTATTTCAATTTGGAATATTACAATCAAATGAAAAAATATTAAAATTAGTTGACATTTTTGGTCAAATATTTTTTGATTCATTTGAACGTCAAAATCAAACTTCAAAAACTACAGAATTATTATATCGATTTATATGTAAATTAATTAATCGTTCATATGTAAGATTTAATAACGAAATATATAATTTATTTTATGAAAAAGTTATTAAAGGATTTGAAATTATTCCAATTATATTAATGGAAGAATTATATGATATTGTTTATAACCAAATTCCTGGATATCCACTTTTGATTCCTTACTTTGTTCAACACTTAAAATCTCTAAGTTCTGATTTATTATTACCAACATCAAATACAAATAGAAATTATCAAATTGTCCTTCTTTTAAGTTCTCTTATATGTGTAAATGAAAATTATCCATCTATTGTTCTTGACTTATCGAATGTTAATAAATTATCTTTTGAATTTAACTTAAAAGAAGAATTATCAGAATGTTTTAAACCATTATTAGAAGTATTTAAATCTATTTCATGTCAAATTTCTTTGATATATTCTATTGCTGCACATATAATATTTTCAAGAAAAATTAATCCTGATTTTAATATTGAGAAATTATTATTAATGATTATTGAAAAAATTGAAGTTGAAAATGAAAATATTTATAGACCTGCTAGTGAGGTTATTTGTGAATTAGCTTCTTTTACTAAATACTTTACTATTAATGATATTCAATTTATGATTAAAAGATTAATCAAAACTATATTAAATCCACAAGTAAAAACAGAAGCTATTGGTTGTGTTTTCACTGCACTAACAGAATGGGTATTTTCACCTTCGTTTATTTTTTTCAAAGCACTATCTCCTGAAATTATAGTTGATTTATTAAATGCAATTTCTTTTGCAATGACTTTAAAACAAGAAAAAAAGACTATTAATCCATTAAATCTTTATAGAGCATCAGCACCTGAATGTGCTGAAATTTTCATCCAAACTCTTTTAAATGCATTTGCATTTGTTCCAAGTGAGAAAGGAAATGATAAATATTTATCTTCACAAATAGAAGGAGAAGGTTCAACAACATGGTGGGCTTATGGAAATAATTTATTATCAATTGAAGAAAGAAAAGATGAAAATTTCTGTAGAATGATTATAAGAAATGCAGTTGGTAAAAGTTCATGGAATGTTCAATCAGTTTCTATTTTAGATGATATTGGAATACCAAATGATACCTGTGTAAGAAAACTGAGCGTAAAAGATATTATTACATCTGCACCAAAAGAAAAAATAGAAGAAAAACCAATTGATCCACATGAAAATAAATTACGTTCTCTTATTAATCAAATTTTAGACCAAGAACCTGATTTCTTAGATTGGGAATTACCTAATAATATTAATAAAGAAGAATATTGTAATGAATTAGAATCTTTAAAAGATACTTTTGAAAATATACAACAACAAATTAAAGGATTTAATGAAAACAAAATAGAAGAAGAAACAAATAAAATAATAACTTTAGAACGACATGAAATAGATTCAACTAAATTATTAATACAAATGTTATTATGTTCAACTCAAAATATTGATGTTATTGGAAAAAGTAATACCACATTAATTCCAATTACACCAACAGATAAATTTAAAACATTAGTAGAAGGATTAGATAAATCATGTGTTCGTAGTTTCCATAAAATAGGTCTTATTTATGTTAAAAATGGACAACATGACCAATTTGATATTCTTAAAAATCAAGAAGGATCACCAGCATATAAAGAATTTGTAGAAGGATTAGGATGGACCATTGATATTGAAACACATTCTGGATTTGTGGGTGGATTAGATAAAACATATTTATCAACAGGAAAGAATATTAGATATTTTGCTGATGCAACAAAAGAAGTTATTTTTCATGATATTACTCTAATGCCAACAGTTCTTAATGACGATCAACAAATAATTAAGAAACGACATGTTGGAAATGACTATGTTCATATTATTTGGAATGAAGCAGACATATACAGTCCTAGGACTATTTCATCTCAATTTAATGCTGCACATATTGTTATTAAACCAATTGGAAATGGTTTACATAAAATTAGAATTTGGAGAAAACAAAGTATTAGACAATTTGGTCCATTAATAGATGGGATGATTGTTGGAAAAGAAGTTCTTCCTAATTTAGTAAGAGAAACAGCTATTAACGCTAGTTATTGTTGTAGTTTAAATATATCACCAGATGATTATTTAAAACCATATTTAAGAAGAACAACACTTATTCAAGATATTATAGACAAAAATAAGGGATCTTCAAAAACCAACTTTTATTCTACACTTTCTATCATTACAAATCCACAAACTGTTACCGAATTAACTGACAAAAAATAAAACAATTTTTAAATGCCTGTTTTTTTTTTCATTCTTCTTATTAAAAAAGAAAAAAATAAAAATTTCATAGAAAAGAAATGAACTGTAATACTTCAATTTATGAATTACTTGGAACTTCAAGGTCTTCATTTAAAAGTTATTTCTGAATCAGACATCACTATAAATACTCTTGTTGAAGACCTAAATATTTCTGGAAATGATTTACAAAATTTTCCTAAATCTCTGAAGAATTTAACAAGATTAACTCACATTAATGCTGACTCAAACCAAATCAGTTCATTAGAAACACTAACAGAAATACCGTCGTTACTTAAATTAGATTTGTGTAGAAATTATATTGTAGAAATTCCAACTTGTTTATCAACATTAACTAAATTATATCAACTGTCTTTATTCGCAAATAAAATACGTACTTTGCCTTATACTTTAGGTTCATTAAAAGAACTTAATCTTGGATCAAATGAAATCACAAAAATACCTTTAGGATGTAATTTCTCATTACTAACTCATTTAGATTTAAGTCAAAATAATTTGTCTCAAATAGAAGGACTTACTGGATTGAATAATTTAATATATATTAACTTGGAATGTAATAAAATTACTTCCTTACCTTTTGTTGGTTGCTTATCTAAATTAGAAAGTATTAATATTTCAAATAATAATATTGAGGTTATTCCTGAATCTATCACTCAATTAACCTGTTTGTCTTTTTTCAACGCAGCTTCAAATCCTATCAAAACATTACCAACTGGATTTTTTAAATTAAAATCACTACGATTTATTTCATTAACAAATACATTAGTTGACTCATTCAATGAACCTTTAGATAATCTTATTAAATTACAAACATTACTTATGAATGACATTAAACTTAGTGAAATGCCTAATGGAATATGTCAGATTCATGAAATGAGAGACTTAAATCTAAGTAATAACAAAATCTCAGAGATTGATCATTTACCCTTAAGTACTGATAGTTTTAATGTATCTAATAATATTATTAACACATTCAACCCAGAAGGAACACCACAAATAGGAAATATTTATTTAAAAAACAATGATTTTGACCATTTTCCTTTGAAATTAATGGAAATTACTAATCTTCAATTATGTGATATTAGTAAAAATAAAATTATTACAATCCCTGATATACCTCTAGAATTAAAATACTTAAAATCTATTGATGTTAGTTTTAATGGACTTACTTCTATCCCACCTATTTTTGATCATTGTTCTCGTTTAACTAAATTAAATGCTTCTTATAATCAACTCACTTCATTTCCCCCTTCAAGATCATTACAACATATTCAAGTTTTATTATTATCAGGAAATCAGATAAGTCAAATTCCAAATGATGTATCAACACTTACACAATTGACTTTACTTCATCTTGCCAATAATTCATTCATTGACTTTCCTACTATTCTTTCAAAATTACCAAAACTTCAACGTCTATCATTGTCAATGAATTCATTAAGTAATTTCCCAGAATTTACAAATGGTGCATTAATTTCATTAGACATTTCATGTAATCGTCTTACCTCTATCAAATTCCCATATACAACAAATTTAAAAAGACTGAAACTCTCTCATAATGCTTTAGGAGAAATACCTAATACTCGTCCTCCTTTACCATCACTTCAAATACTTGATCTTTCATCTAATGGATTAACTAATTTTGTTCTTCACACTAATGAATTTCCATCATTATCTGTATTAGATTTAAGTTGTAATAATCTTTCTGTTAGTCCAAATATTGGTCAAAGAAAATTTGCATTACGTCTTGATGGAAATCCAAATTGGCAAGCCACACAATATCCATTCTTACCAAATTTCTTAAAACTAGAAGAGTTTAGTACTATACCCCCTTCATTTTCTTTTTGTTCTAAATGTTCTAATAGAGTAGAAATGCAAGATTCAATTATTTGCATTCCGAATTTTACTGCTCCAGACTTTTTCTTATTTGCTGCTATTGATGGTCATCTTGGAAGTGTTGTATCAAATACTTTTGCTACTAAATTTCCACAAATTCTTTACAACTTCTTGAAAACACAAAATATAAAAACAGCATTTTTCCAAGCATTTAAAGAAATGCAAAATCAATTAAAAGAAGCAAAAGTTACTGATGGTGCAGTTGTTACTGTTACATTTCTTACTCCTTCACATATTTATGTAGCACAATGTGGAGATTGTAGAGCAATTTATATAACTGAAAAAAAAGTAACTCAGTTATGTGAAGAACATACTCCATCTAATCCTCAAGAATTTAAAAGAATTAAAGAATGTGGTGGATATACTGAACGTGGAAGAGTTTTTGGTGAATATATAGTATCACGTTCAATTGGTGATATTAATCTTAAACCAGTCATTTCAGACTTACCAGAATTTGTTGTTTGTGATAGAACTGAAAATGAACAATTTTTAATTGTTGCTTCTGATGGTCTTTGGGATCAAGTCAGTAATAATGATATTGTTTCATTATTAAATAAAAAGAAAAGTTCTAGAACTGCCGAGCTTTCAGCATTGCTTTGTGATGTAGCTTTTGTATCAGGTTCAACGGACAATATTTGTGTTTTAGTCTGCAAATTAAATTAAATTCTTTTTTTAAAACTTGAATAGTTTCTCAAAATATGAACTTCAAAATCAAAATTAATAAGTTATTGATAGTGTAGTTTCTAATTTTTTCATTACCAAATCAGTTTCTTTACTCTTTGATTCTTCTATTGTTTTGTTAATTAATGTAAATATAGAATTATCAGAATATTCAAAGTCAACTGGTTCTTTATTAATGTCTCTATCTTCATTTAGTGCTTTTACCCAATAATTGTCCATTGAGTCACGACAATTCTTAAAATGTTGAATATTTTCTTTAAAGAAAGAAAATAAAGATACCATATAAGGTTTAAGACCAAATGCATGAAGCGAATTAAAGATTCTAGTAACTCTAAGGTAATTATGACCACTCCAATTAAAATTTTTAAAACGTTCTTTTCTAATTTTTTCATCAGGTAGTGGTGATATTTTTCCTGTTGAAAGATCAACAATATCCCCACCTAAGAAATTGATAAATAAACGATACATTCTAATAAATTTAAGTGTTATTTGGTTATCTTGTCTAAAATAATTTGCTTCTTCCTTATCAAGGGTATAACTATTCCAATTAAACATTGATTTAACAAATGTAGGAAATACCCATTGAACATAATCATGTCTACTTTCCATTACATTAAATCTTGGTTCTATTGTTAAATCCATTAATGAATGATAAAAGTCATCAATTCCCCAAGAATCTTTGATTTGATATGGTTTTACATTTTTAGTATTAAGTAATTTTTTTATTTTATTACCTAAAGAAAAATATGACTGTCGAGAGGAAATTCCTCCATATTCATTTTTAAAGAATAATAATATTTTAAAACTTTTTTCTACTTTTGTTTCTTTTTTATTTTGTTTAGTAAAAGAAGTTGTTGTTTTAATTTCTTTATTTGTTGTATGAGGCTTTTTAACAGTTTCATTCTCAATTTCTACTTGACGTTTTTCTTTAGTTTCTTCTTGTTGTAATAATTCTTCTTCGTTAATAGTTTGTTTTTTCTTTTCTTGTATACTTCTGTCTGTTTCTATTATTTCTCCTTTTACCACACCATTTTCTCGTTGAATTGTGTTATTACTATCTACAGCTGTGACTTGGGGGATTTCTGTCTGGTTAGGATTTTGTTGTTCTTCTTCCATAATTTTTGTATGCTTTACTTCTTCTTCCTTATTCTTTTGACTATTTGACTCTTCATTAGTTATTTCTTTGGTAATTTGTTCCTCACCCATTGGAGTATTGGTAGGAGATGAGTGTATATCAGATTGCATTATTTAAACAAAACTAGTTTTTCCTTTTAAATTAATAAATTGTTTAATTTCATTTTATTATTTTTATTATTTTCAGGTTTTTAAATGATGTTACATACTTTTAAAACTTTAAAACAATTCAAAAAACAGTATAATAAAATAGTGTTATTTGGTACTTGAAAAATTTATTAAGTAATACGCCTTTTGCATTATCAAAAAATTAATCAAATAACAAAAAAATTGATTAGAGTATTATCCCAATGAAAAAATTATTTTTGTTTTTATCTAAGAAACTGAAGAAAAACTCAATTCTCAAATGAGTCTTGTTTGTTTGAGGATACCTTATTTTAATATGAAAAGACATTAATATATTCAGGACAAGTGGTTTGTTTCAAAAACAAAACCAAAAATAAAAGATGGAGCAAAAGTTCTTTCGTCCTCTTCACATGAAAAAATGGGATCTCCACCTACTTCTATTCAACTGAGCTCAGAAAAAAAAGAAAATAAAGTTCAAAATAATGATAAAGAGGTTAAAAAACCTAAAATGCCATCATCAAAAACTAGTAAAAAGAAAATAAACAAACAAATAAAATCAGTTACAAAAGAACAAGAAACTAATGAACAACTTGATAGCATTGAAGAACAATATGATACAAAGACAGAAACAAAAATTTCGATAAATGTTATTGTTAAAAAAACAACTATTGAACCTAATAAACAAAAGAAAACATCTAAACCAATTGAATCGAAAAAAACCCACTTCAATGCTTTTAGTCATGATACTACAGCAAAAAATAAAGGATCAAAAATTATTCCAAGAGGAGTTGGAAATTTCTTTGGAGAAAATGAATTTCAAAAGAAAAATTTTGTATTAACAGGTGTATATGATGAATTAGATAGAGATGAAATGAAAGAGTATATTATTAGTTTTGGTGGAAATGTTGCAACAAGTATCAGCGGAAAAACTGCTGTTTTGATAGCTGGTGAAGAAGCTGGACCATCAAAAATTGAAAAAGCAAAAGAAAAAGGAATTCCTATATGGAGCGAAGATGATGTATTTAATTATGTAAAACAAAAATTAGGAAATAACGTAATAACAACGAGCATACCTAATCAAACAAATAATCAAAAACAACAACCAACTAATGTAGATGAAAACACTACTGTTATTAATTCAAATGAAATTATTTGGACAGAGAAATATAGACCCCAAACAAAAAGTGATCTTATTGGAAATAAAAATCAAATTGCTAAATTTTATACTTGGATTAATAAATGGGAAAAAGTTATTCCAGACAGAAGAGCTGTATTACTTGCTGGTGCTCCTGGAGTTGGAAAAACAACAGTATCTAAAATTGTTGGAAAAACTTTAGGGTTTAATCCAATTGAATTTAATGCTTCTGATACAAGAAATAAAAGTTCAATTGAATTAGCTATTAAACGAATATTTTTAAATGGACAAATAAGTATTGATGGAAGTAAAAATAAAAAGCCATTAATTATAATGGATGAAGTTGATGGAATGTCTTCTGGTGATAGAGGTGGAATTACTGAATTAGTTAAATATATAAAAGAAACTGAACAACCAATTGTATGTATTTGTAATGATATTATGGATAAAAAAATGCAACCATTAATAAATGTTTGTGAAACTATTAATTTTTCAAAAATTAGTGTTAGTGAATTAACTGAACGTTTAAAATATATTTGTGATAAAGAAGGTGTTCATGTAAGTGATGAAAATTTAAATCAAATTGCTTCTAAAGCACATGGAGATGTTAGATATGGAATTAATATGTTACAATCATTTGTGAAATGTGGAGTAACATTAGGAGAAAAAAATGAAGATGTTGATTATGTTGAAATAGTTCCTACGTTAATAACTCGATATTCTTCAACTAGTTTTATTGAAAAAAATGAGATTTTCTTTATGGATAATTTTATGATGCCAATTTATTTACATGATTCATTATTACGTGCTCAAAAGTTTTCTGCATTATCTAAATCATTTGGTTCATTTGCAATTGGTGATATTTTCCAAAATGTAGTTAATAAAACTCAAAATTGGAAATTAATGCCAATTACAGGAATATTTAAAGTTTGTCTTTCAACTTATTATGGTCAAACAACAAATCCAGGAATGAAGGTAATGTTTCCAAAAACATTAGGTAAAATAAGTAAACGAGGAGGAAATCAAACAAGGTTATTAATGTTAACAAATAAAACACCAGGGAAATTTATGGACTCAAGAGGATATGCAGCTATTCCTATGATGTATATAAGAAACACTATTATAAGGTTAATGTCTATTGATGTTAAACAAGCTGTTGCTGTTGCATTAAAATTTGGACTTGAGAAAGAAATTTGGGATGAAATGGTAAAAATTGGAATAAGTCTTGAGAAAGTAGAATTATTTAAAAGTGTATCAACAGCAAACAAAACTAAATTCACAAAAGAGCTAAAACAAGCAACAACTCCTGTGATTAAAGAAACAAAAGGAAGTTCTAAGAAAACAAAAAAAGAATATGAGGATGATTTAGAAGAGATGAGTGAAAGTATTGAAGAAGATGAAGAAGACAATGAACAAGTATTTGATGAGGATATGTTCTGATCACGAAAAATTTAAATTTCTATTTTATTTGTGAATTTTTTTTCTTTTATGAAAAGATTGAATCAATTCATTATACAATCTCATGAGATAAAACTTGAAATTGATTTAAGAAAGTAATGACCCAATCACCAGAGACAAATGAAAAACCAATGACCATTACAGAGTTTAATGATCAAACTGAAGAACTATTAAAATGCACAACGTCAGCTTTAATGAATAATGAAGAGTCTATTAAAAAGTTGTTAGATGTTTTAAATAAAAGTATAGAAGAAGAACAAAATAAGATTAAGATGTTAGACCAAAACATTGAACAATTTGAAAAAATGATGAACAATTTAACAAGTAGATTCCAACACTTGTTTAATAAGAATTTATAATTTAACTTTTATTTATAATAAGAATATTAATAGAATAAAATATTAATCTGAACCTCCACGTAAATTACTTGCTCCAACTAATAATTTTCTAAAAGTAACTTGAGAAAATGATTTATTTCCACTAATAATATAAAATGGTAATCCATTTGAAATATGTGGATTTTTAAAAAATGAACTTTCTTTACCATATTTAAATCCACAAACTCCAGTTGACAACACTGTTATTGGTAATCCAACTTCAATTAAATTACCAAATATACAATTTTGTAATTCAATAAATATTAAATGATATTTTGCTTTGTCATTTATTGAGTATGAATTAGCTGCTTTATTGATAATAAATTGATTCCACAATTCACGTTGTTCGTTAATACTAATTTCTTTTTTATTTAAAGAAGTATCAAAATCATTTTTTATTTCTTTTCCAATAGCATCAAAATGAAGAATAACATAAACAATATCTTCTAAATATTCTTCTCGTGTTTCAAGTATTTGACAAAGTGAAGATGCAAGAGCAAAAACCATACCTGTTCTATCACATCCACTTTTACAATTAATACAAATAACAATATTTGATAATAATAAATAAAGACAAAGAATTAATAATTCTTGAATTCTACTTTGAGTTATTAATTTTTCATGTCCATCAAGAATTGAACGTAATAAAATTGCACGTTGTTTTTCTTTTCCTGATAATATTTTAATAAGTTCTAATACTGTAATATCTTCTTTACATTGAATATCTTTCTTAAACCAATCAATTAATTGATATAAACCAATTTGATTAATATCTTTTGAAGTTGTTTCTCCAATAGAAATACCAAATAATTCATTTAAACTAAATTGATAATTTAAATGAGTTATTTCAATTCTCATTTTATTCCATACTTTTTCTTGTAATAAACGATGTTGTCTTTCTGCAATATTTTTTTCAGTTATTGCAAATTTAAAAGTACTAACTAATGAAATAGAACATACTTTAATTGTAGGAGATAATTGTAATGGATTAATTCTTTGATTAAAAGAAAGTTGTAATGAATTTGGTTTTATTGTATTCATTAATACTTGAATAAATTGACGAAGTCGAATATATGAATCAATAGCTCCACTTCTAATAATACAATTACCATTACATTTCATTGAATACACATTCATTAAATATTTTTGATATTCTGTTTTGGATAATATATGACATGTACCAACTGTTCCCATACCTTTATGAGCAATCCAAACTCCTTCTTCTTCTTCTTTAAATAAACTAAATCTTTTTCTATAACTAAAATTCCATTCAACTAATGATATTATACTTTCTTTTCCATTTGCTTTCCAACAATGTTTAATAGATCTTGGAATAATAGAAATATCTTCATGTTCAATATAAAGTCCTGATGATATATTTGCAATATATTCTTTTACTCTTTCTCTATCTGTTTCCCATGAAAGATAATTATCATCAGTAAATTTACTAATATCAACCATTTTAGGTACTGTTATATTCCACCCATTATGTATAGGTGATGGTTTTATTAATGGTTGTTTAATAAGTGCAATAACTTCATCAACTTTTAATAATAAACTTTTAGCACAAGGATTTATTATTTTTTGTGGTCGATGTCCAAATTTTGGTTTATTCATTCTAATAAAATATGAACTGCATAAACTAATTAATATTAATAAGAGTAATAAAGAGAAATAAGTAACTTCAGGTTTAATAGAAATATATCCTTCAACACTTTCTATGAATAAACGATAACTCATGATGATAATGTCTTTAAACATTGTGTTATTTAATTTGTGTTATTGTAAACTAAAACTTTTATTTTTATATTTAAAATTTCAAGTTTCACCTCCATAACTAAGTTGTCATCATCAACATCTTATCTTTTTAATTATTAATTTTGTTATTAACTTGTTAATAAACTATTTATAGTTGTTTCTAAATTTTTTTATACGAATCTATTTATATATTTTTATTTGAAAGAGAATTAGGTAAAAATCCCGAAATAAAGGATTTAAAATAGAATAAAATTTAGAAAAAAAAAAAAAAGAGAAAAGAAAAATAAAAATAAAAAGAGAAAAAATGAAAAAAAAGTGAAACAATTGAATTTTCTATTGAAAGAATCGAAGATTCAGATTCTAGAAGAGAAACAAAGAACAATGAACTCAAAAGAGATAAAGATTTAACAAGACATTAATGTCAACAACAACCCACCATCATAGAAAAAGATTTATTAAATCTGATTATCGTATGAATTACCTTTGTTCACAAGATAGTTTCTTTACTCCATTTACTAAAGAAAATCGTTCAATGTCACCAGGGAATGATTTTGTTTGTTTTAAGAAAGAATAGTTAATTTTTAAATAAAAAAAAACTTATTTAAAATAGGAATCTTCAGTACGACAAGCGACTATTACTTATATTGATGTACTAAAAAGATGTAATCCAAACCTCGATTTTTCTTCTGTTATTACAAAGAGAGCATTAACATCACCATCAACACCAGCACATAATGACTATCATGATAATTGTAAATATGATTATATTCTTTATACAGATGAGGTTATTGGAACTGGAGTTCCAGGAGTAGTTTCATATGGAAAAAAACAAGGAACAAGATATAGAGTTCTTTGTTTATTAGGACAAGGAGCATTTGGACAAGTTGTAAAATGTTTTGATGAAGTAAATAAAACATTTGTAGCAATTAAAGTATTAAAGAATAGACCAGCTTATTATAGACAAGCCATGTTAGAAATAGCAGTATTACAAGTATTAAATGAAAAATTTGATGTTGATGGACGTGGACATACTCTTCGTCTTTTAGACCATTTTGTATTTCATAATCATGTTTGTATTGTAACAGAATTATTATCAATTAATTTATATGAATTAATGAAACAAAATAATTGTCGTGCCTTATTTGTTCAATTAGCACGATCAATTCTTCAACAATTATTAGAAGCACTTGTTATATTATTTAGAAATGGAATTATTCATTGTGATCTTAAACCAGAAAATGTATTATTAATTGATGTATCAAGGAACATTAAATTAATAGATTTTGGTTCAGCATGTTTTGAAAATAGTACGTTATATTCTTATATTCAATCAAGACATTATAGATCACCAGAAGTTATATTAGGATTACCTTATTCTAGTGCAATTGATATGTGGTCATTTGGATGTATGGCAGCAGAATTATTTGTTGGAATACCAATATTTCCAGGAAACAGTGAATATAATATGTTATTTAAATTTATTAATATGTTAGGAATGCCTCCAAGAAATTTATTAGATAAAGGAAGTAAAACTTCTAAATTTTTTAGAAGAAAAAGACCATCAGAAATGAAAAATAAAGATGATGTTTGGGCATTTAAAAGTAAAAGAGAATTTGAAGAAGATAATAATATTTATACTGAACCTAATAGAGAATATTTTACATATAAAACATTAGAAGATATTGCTATGAAAGTTGCTTTTAGAGTTTCTTCTGCTGATGAGCCTCATAAACTGGAAATGAGAGTTGCATTTTTAGATTTTCTTAAACGTGCACTTCAATGGGATCCTGAAGTTAGAATGAGACCAGATCAAGCTTTACAACATCCTTTTATTACTAAAACTCCATTACCAAGTAATTATACTCTTCCACCTACTACAGAACCATTAAGATCATTCCCTCCAGGAACTCAACTTACTACTGAAGAAGTATTACAAAAAATTGCACCAAATCCAGCTGCAGCACAAAAGTTACGAACTATGGGATATAATGCTACAACATATTATCAAGTTTATGCTGATGGATTAAGTAAAGGAATTGTATTAAATATCCTTAATTCTAATCCATTCTTTTTACAACCAATGACACCACCTGCATTAATTCGTATAAATCAACAAGAAGAAGAAAAGAAAAGAAGATTATTAGAAGAAAATAAAGGAAATATTTTATATCAAGGAATTGGTTCATCTACAATTCAACAAGAAGTTATGAAGAATAGGTCTTTGTTTAAAGAACATTCGAAAAAAGAAGAACATAAGAAACAAAGAAGACAAACTGGTGATGTCTTCTCAAATAAAGGAATGGAAACTTTATCACCTCGTGCTGAAGACTTTTTAGTAGCACAAAGTATGAAAATTGATCAACAACAAGCTACTTCATATGCTGGTAGTAATATTACTTTACCAGGTTCTACATCAGATGGATCAATGGCAGGTTCTTGGAGTACACAAGCAGGCATGTTGCTTCCAGGAGGAACTACTGGAAGTATAAATCCATATGATTAAAAACATGTTTTTTAATAACAAATTATTTATTTTTTGTTTTTAAAGAAAAAAACAAAAGAAATATATATAACAAATTTAATAGATACTACAAAAAAAAAAAGGAAAAAATAATATTTAGTTCATTACAATAACTAAAAAATCAAAAGAATAAATGGACAAAAGTAATTTCAAAGAAGAAAGTAAAGAAAAAGATAATAAAAACATTGTTGAAAGAATTGAAGAAAGTATTAAAAAAAGGAATAGAGAAGAAAGTAAAGAAATAAAAAGAGAAATAAAAGAAAAAGAAATTAAACAAGAAGAATTAGAGGAAATAGAAAACATAATAGAAAGAAATACAATAAATGAAGGAAATAAAGAAATATATGAAGAACTAATAAAAATACCAAAAATACAAAAGTATATAATAAAAAATATAATTAAAGAAATTGAAATAAACTATGAATTATATGATCAATTTAATATTACTTTAACAGAAGAAAGTATTAAAGAAATATGTAATGATATTATAAAAGAAAAAGGAAATGAAAATAAAATAATTCAATTATTAAAATTATTATCAAAATGGGAATTTGAAAGTCTTAATGAAGAAGAAAAGAATTGTATAAAAAATTGTATTATACAAAGTAATAATAAATTAATAATTCAAATTGGATGTTCAATATTAAGAAAAGATCAAAATAATATTAATTATTTTGTTGATTTAATGAATATTGGAAATGATTTTGTTGCAGAAACAGCAGCAGATAATTTATTTGCAGAATGTTTAGATGATAATGTTCTAAATACATTAAGAAGATCAATATTAAATAATATGCCACCAGTATGTGAACGTGTTCAAGATATTATTATTTCTGTTTTACAAGCAAATAATCCAAAAATGAAAGATATAGAAAAAATAAAAATTGCATTAGAATTATCAAGATATAATCATCTTCATGACTTAAGAAAATATATTATTCATATCGTTCTTGAAGAAAAAACTCCTTTAAATGAAATTATTCAATGTTGTTTTGAAGTATTATCAAAAAAATTAAATTATCAAATTGATTTAGTTGAAAGTATTCGTTTTATATTAGAAAGATTAATTCCTTTTAATCAACAATTAAATCCAAGAAGAATGCAATTAAAATATAATAATAATTTTATTATTGTTTATTGTCGTCAAACTGCAGAAGAATTAATAAAACAATTAAATAAAAATGGAGTTGTAGTTGCATTTGGAGATGTTATACCAAAAAATACAGCATTAGAAGATGTTGGATTAAAAGAAGGAGATGAAATAATGATAGATGAAAATGTAGAATATGAAACTACAATAACAAACACAATAAAATTTATTGATATAACTAAAATAGAAAATGATGTAACACAATTAATTAATGGAAATATTAATGGTAAATTACAAATATTAGAAGTTCTTCCTTTTATAAAACAAAAATTTGAACCAAATTATATTCCATATAAATATTATAATTATTATAAACAACAAAATGATATTGAATTATTACATGAAGAACTTCTTTTATTTGATATTAATGATATTAATAATAAAGATACATTAGAAGTATATTGTAAATTACTTACATTATTATCAAATGATATTTGTAAAACTATTATTGAAACAAAATGTGAAGAAATTATTAATGAAAATGGAATGAAATTTATTCAACAATTATTTATTACACCAGAATTACATTATATTATTCCAAATGAATTATGGAAATGGGTTAATAAAATTGTTAATAAATTACAAGGAAATGAAAAACATTCATTTTGTTTTAATGCAGTTAAATTATATAAAGATAATCATGAATTTATAAATGAAGTAATAAAAATGAAAGATATTGTTTTAGTATCTATGCTTCTTAATCAAAATCCAACACCATATATTATTGAACAATGTAAAAATGTTTTTAATTTATTTAAAGATAACACACAAAGACAAAAAGAATTAAAACAATTTAATGAATTAGATTATTATTATTCAATTATTCAATATTATTCTCCTAATCCAAATGAAGTTATTGAATATATTAATCAAACAATTTCAACAAGAAGAAGATGGATATTATTAACATCATTAAAAACAATTCATAATATAAATGAAATAGTGAAAATTAATAATACAATTTCATATGAAGGAATAAATGAATTTGATTTTTCAGGGTTTTATAATCCATCCAAATTATGTTATATGACAAGTGTTTTAGTACAATTATTATCTATTGAAGAATTTCAAACAATATTAAGACAAACTTCATGTAAAAGTAGGGTAATTTTATTATTAATTTCAGCATTAAAATATTTTACAAAGAATGGAGAAGAATTTAAAATAGAAAACCTTCTATTAGAATTACAAAAATATACCAAAATGGAATTAAATGAATTTAATGATGTAAGTGAATTTATGATGTTATTATGGGATGTTTTAGAAAAAGAATTACCTGAAGAAGAATTTAAACAATTAGAAAAACATTTTATATTTCAAACTAAAAACAAAACATCAGAAGGTATTCAAGAAGATAAACATTTATTTTTAATTATTCCTTTTGGTGTAAAATCAATTGAAGAATATATTATTGAAAGAAATGATGAATTACAAACAATTGAAGAATATCCAGATTATCTTCAAATTCAATTTCAAAGATCATTATATAATAGTAATAAAACACAATGGAAAAATAATGATGAAATAAGTTTTGGATATTCAATTAAATTACCATTAAATAATGGTGAAAAAGAAAATTATATATTAAAAGGAATTATAGTTCATTTTGGAACTGTAAATATAGGACATTATATTAGTTATATATTAAATCCAGAAAATAATATTGATTGGATTTATTTTAATGATGATAAAGTAGAAAAAATTTCATGGTATAATTTTAATATTCAACAAAAATGTTTTGGTAAAAAAGATAAAAATGAATATATTAGTACCGCTTATATTCTTATTTATCAAAAACAATCAAAACTTAATAAAAATATTAATCAAATCTTTCATTTTGTTGAAGAAACTCATCCATTTGATATTCCTCTTCCAAATGTAATGGTAGATAAATTCTTTTCATTTTCATTACAAAGTAATTTAAAGTTACAAGATATTAGAATATTACATTATCTTAAAAATTATATGTTTGATATTACTAATTATCAAATTGTTACTAAAATGATTAAATTATTAACTTCAGAATCTGATATTGTTAGAAAAACTGTTCTTCAAATGTTTTTAAATTATCATAAATCTGTTAAACATATTGATTTTAGATTTATTGATGTTATAGTTCATTATGTATCTTCTTTTTATTCAATGTTTTATCCTTCTCCTTCAATTCATTTAAAAGAATTTATTACTTATTTAAATGTTTTTTGTGAAGGAGATGATGTTGAAATTAATTCATTTAGAAGAATTATTATTATTTATGCAACTAAATCATTATCATTACTTAATTTAATGTCACGTTCAACAATTGAAGAAGGTTTAGAAAAATTATTTTATCATTTAGTAAGTATTTCTCATCCAACTATTCAAGACATTGACAAAGATAATCAAATTATGAGATGGGTTTTAACTACTGATGGTGGTTCAAAAATTATTAAAGAATTATATAATGGAATGTTTTTAAAACTCGTTTTTATTATCAAAAAATGTTTTGCTTGTGATGAAGAAGAAATGTATTTAGACCTTTTTAAAATGATTTTAACTTCTAATGATAAAAAAGCTATCTTTTCTTTACTTTCAATTTATTCTGAATTTAATAGGTCTTCAATTAATAAACCTTTACCAGAAGCTTATTGTTATGGATTATTAACTTTAATTGAACCTACTAGACATGGAATGAATGTTATTCAATTAATTCTTTCTATTAAAAATCCATTAATAACAGAATGTTTAGATAAAATGTATGGAAGTTATGATTTATTTAAAACTACTATTAGAAAATATGCTCATTCATTAGATAGTTCATTAGATACTTTTGAAGATTCTAAATTAAAAATGTATGAACTTGGATATTCTGATGTTTATGATGAATGTGCAAAACATTAAAATAAATGAATTTGTCTTAATTAATTTAATGTTATAAAAAAAAACAATAAAAAATGAAAGAATAAAATAAAATGAAAGAATAAAAAATAATTTTAATTTTCTTTTATAATTTTTAATTAAAAATTATAAAATAGAAAAATGAAAGTTTCTTTTAACTTGAAGAAAACGATTGAATTGATTTAAAACCATTTATTTGGCTTTTGCTTGAATATCAGCAAGAAGTGCACCTCTATTGTTTTCTTGAACTTTAGCATCAGCTGGAATAACTGGAGCTGATCTATCATTAGTTTCAGCTTTCTTTAATTCTTTTCCTTCTTTAATTCCACTAAGAAGTTCATTTCTATCACCTTTCTTAATTTCAACATTTTCAATAACTGGTGCACTCTTATCAACTGTTTCAGTATGTTTAAGTTTTGCGTCAGCAATACCTGCAAGAGCTTTAGCGTCCATTTGTTTTACTTTGATATTTTTTAGTTTTGATTCTTTCTTTAAATAATGAAAAGAAGCTTCTAATCCTCTTTTTCACTACCAAACTATTTCATTATCCATTTTAATCGCCTCTAAACTCTTTTATGAGATGTGACGTCAGAACTGTTTTTTTTTTAATTTTAGTTCTTTTTTAGATTGACGTTTTTGTATTTCAACTTAATAATTCTGTATTTCTTATTATTTTGATATATATAACATAAATAAAATGTAAAAAATATTGAATTAATGAGAACGTTGAAGACTCATTGAATATTTACCACCTGCATTATGAAGACGAGAAAGAACAGGTGATGTAACTAACCACTCATACCATACACTAAATTTAGTTTCACATCTCCATAATTTTAGTTCTAAAATATCTCCTCTTTTTACTTCAATAGGAGAAATTAAAGGAAAGAATAAAGGAAACCATGAATACATTTCAGGTGAATGTTCATTTGGAACAATACTTAATTTAACTGTTTTATAAAGATCTACATTAAAAGTACCTGAAAACCCATGAATAACAGCATCATAATTCATTGGAAAAGATAATGTTATATAACGAGAATGATTTATTTGAGATGTTGGATGTTCAAATCTAAAACATTGTTGAGGAGAGGATAAAGGTTGATAATGATAATGATTACAAACACAAGGTAATTCAAATGAATGTTGTTCAACAATCATTTTAGTAAATAATAATGCAGAAGATATTGGTTGAATATAATTAGTATATCTATAAGGAATAGATATTCCATCATCTTTTAATACTTGAGGAAGTAAACAATCAAGACATTCAGGAGATAATTCATTATCACCAAAACTACCTAATAATTCACTTATAACAATATCAATTTGTTTTTCCATATGAACATTTCTCATATCATCAAAAATAATTTTAACATTATTCCAATATTCTTTATTCTTTCTAAATTTTAATGTTGCAATTGCATTTGGATTCTTTTCAATGGCATAAATTATTGTTTTATGTTCAATTCTAAAATTTTTACATATTTCAAGTGTTATTGCAATTAATGGTCCTCTTCCTGCTCCTGCAATTACAATTTTAAACGGATTTAATGGTGTTGATTTACTAAAAACATCTGATTTATCTTGAATTGCCATAATAATTGCTTCTCTATATTTTTCATATTTAAATGGTTCTTTTTCAAAAGACTCATAAACTATTGACTCTAAATTTTCTGATAATGGTTGAATTGGAATTTCTATTTGATCTCTATATGGTATTGTTGTTTCTTCATATCGAGAAATTTTCATTCTTGACTCTTTTAACCATTCAAAGTATTTTACATCTCTTTGCATTTCTTTTACATGACAACAATATCCTTTTAAAATAATAGCAATATCAAAATCCATTAAACTTTGAATAAATATTTCTAAACTTCTTGGTATTTTTCCATATTCATTTATTAATGATTTATTTATTACCACTCCACTTACATTTTCTGCTCTCCATATACTTAATAAATTATATTCTATTTCTTTATTTTGAAGAATAAGAAGTGGTCGAATATTTAAATTATATCCTAGTGTTTTTCTAAGTGTATTCCATCGTTTCCATGTATTTTCATCTAATAATAATGATATCCAAACAATACTTTGTGTAATTGAACAAATAGTATTAATACATTTTATATATTCTATTGAATAAGACTCATCTTCAGGAATAATAATACATGGCAACCTAATATGATTTACCCATTGTAATTCTTCATATAAATATTCTAATGAACGTGAACAATCAAATAATGATAATTTACCAAACCACCTTGTAGAAACAACAGAACTATCTAAATAACTATCAGAAAATGTTGGTTGAAATTGTTCTTCTTGATCATTCACATCAAATTCATATGATAAAGGAACAGAAATAAATGAAAAAGATTGAAGAATCTTATCACTTTTTTTTGAGACATCTACAAGATCAAAATCTTGAGAAGACAAATCAACTCCAATCGAAAGTTTATTTCGTTCGGTCATCAAATAAAAATTCTTCTTTGAATAATAAAGAACTAAAACAAATGAATAAAAACAATAGTTTTAAAATAAATAAAATAAACTAAAAGTATTAAATATTTAACTAAAACTAAAAGAAATTATAATTAAACTAAAAGAAATTATATCAAGGGTTTAAAAAAAAAATCATCTAATATTCGTACAGGCATGACTTCTAAGAGAAGAAACAACGGAAGATCTAAGAAGGGAAGAGGACACACTCAAAATGTTAGATGTAGTCATTGCGGAAGATGTGTACCAAAAGATAAAGCTATCAAAAGATATCAAATTAAAAATATCGTTGAAGCTGCTGCCGTCCGTGATATTTCTGATAATTCTGCTCTTACTAAATACAAGTTACCAAAAACTTATATGAAATTAGAATATTGCGTTTCATGTGGTATTCACGGAAGAGTTGTTAGAGTCAGATCTAGAACTGATAGAAGAAATAGACTTCCACCAAAGAGAGTCGTTAAGAAAACTAATAAACAACAAGCCGTTAAACCATCTACTGAAGCTGTTAAAGTTGAAATTCCAGCTGATGTTGTTACTGCACCAAAAGTTGCTGCCCAAAAGGAAAGACCATTCAAATACTTACAATAATTAACGTCTGACCTGTTGTTATTAATTTTGGTTATATTTTTCAATTCATTTTTATTATGGTTTATTCAAAATAGCTTTATCAAATTAATAAAGTAAAAAGTAATTATTTTAAAATAAGAAGTTAAGTATTATTTAACAAATATAAGTCATAAAATAAAAAGCAATTAATTAAGTATTAAAAGAAATAGCTTCTATTCTTCCTGGCTCAGGGGAGACTAATCACATCCCTTCGTCTTCTTCTTCTAGCAGCTCTACGGAGTATATTTGATTATTATTAAAGCAATGTTCAATGACATCATTCATGTGTTTTATGACAAGGTTTTTTACTTCTTTCTCGATGTCAATTTCAATTTTTATTTCTTTAATTAATCTAATGCTTTCTTTATTTATTAATCCATTTATTGAGATTACTACTGGATTTATTCTGACATCTTTTAATTTCTATTTTCATTAGCCTATTCTTTAATTAATTGTACATATTTCTTTTCTTCAAATATTCTCCATTAATATTGTGATCAGCAACAATAGTCATATCAAATATTAGACTAGTTTTATTCTTTTTATCTAATACATATATGTCTGGTATTTTGTGGTATTGTCCATCACTTTTATGCATTATTTGTTTGTTCAATATCATAGTGATGTCTTTATATTGTAACATTGTTTCATATGGTGGTTTTTATATTGATTATTTCCTGTGTATTTTCTTATTAATCAATATGATAATACCTATATTGTCATATTTTTCCATTTGTGATTTTTTATGATAAATACAAGATATTAGAATGTGTTTTATTGTTGTTATCTTGTCTTTACATAGTGTGCAGTATTTCAATCTTTCATTTTTCATTATTTTTGATTTTCTATACCCACAAAATATTGCTCCATCTTGCATTTTAGGTAATTAGAAAAATGTATTTTTCTTAATATTGATTGACTTCCATGCTTTCACTGTAGTAGTTTTATCTACTCATTTTGACTCAAACCATCTTCTAAAATGTCACTTATTTGATGACACTTCCATTTTTTGATGTATTTGTCATTAATTTTTTATTTCTATTACTACTTCTTTTTCTTTTTTCTTTTCAATACTTTCATTTATTATTTCTTCTATTTTTGTTTCATTTATTTTATGAATTGGTGGTTTTAATTCTATTCCATATTCCATTCTTACTGTACTACCTATCTAATATGTTATTTCAAATTTCACTTTCTCTGGTACAGTAGTACATCACTATTCTTACTATTTCATTAACATATTCGTCAATGATGTTTATTAGTCATTCATTTCTTCTAGAAGGACATATAGCCGATCTTTGGAGTTGAATCATTATATTTTGCCTTTCTTAAATATTTTCTTATCTCCAAATCAATTTTATCTAGGTCAGTGATTTTCCAATTTACAACTGATGCTGAATATCTGAAGATATT